TAATACTACGTGTCGGTTCGTGACACCCGATCCCCTAATACTACGTGTCGGTTCGTGACACCCGATCCCCTAATACTACGTGTCGGTTCGTGACACCCGATCCCCTAATAGTACATGTCGGTTCGTGACACCCGCTCCACTAATCTCATTCTATTAATTCATTCAGCCTTCTCTTATACCAAGGCATCATCAATCTCATTACTTTAGTTCATCAAGCCTTTTCTTATACCAAGGCATCATCATTAACAAAGTAGATTTTCAAGATTTAGGATTCAATAGTTTCATCATGCATATTCATCACAATTACATAATCACCTTCATGCAAGCATACAATTAAGCATATAGAAGGGTTTACAACACTACCCAATACATATCATTCGCTATTAAGTGTTTACTACGAATAGCATAAAAACCATAACCTACCTCCACCGAAGATTCGTGATCAAGCAAGCAAATTTTCCAAAGCTTCGTTTTTCCTCTCTCTCTCTCGATCAATCGTTCTCCCTCTCTCTGTTCTTTCTGTTTTTCTTATTCAAACCCTCTTTCTTTTACCCTAATTAACATATAATTAAGTATAAAAGATGACAAAATAACCCACTAATTAATTTAAGGTTATCTCCTTTAACCCTCAAGAAATTGGATTATTAATATTCACCCACTAAATTTATAATTATAGCAGGAATAGTCCAAAACGTCCCTTAAAACATTTAAAGAAATCCGATCCAGCCTGGGATAACGTAGTCTGTGACGGTCCGTCACGACTGTGACGGTCCGTCCTGCACGTCCATCACAGAGTTCAGAGACTAGATTTTTACTAAGGATCTGTGACGGCCCGTCACGCCTGTGACGGTCCATCCTGCCATTCCGTCACGAAGTTCAGAGAGTCGATTTCTGTACCCAAATTTCAAAATTCTAAGTGTTTTGGAACGAGACCCCCTCAACGGTCCGTCGTGCCCATGACGGTCCGTCGTGGGATCCGTCGTCTCAGTCAATTTTTTCAGAAATAAAATCTGCTGCTCAAAATGACTAAACAGGTCGTTACACGTGGCCGAGATGCAAGGAGGAGAGGCAAAAGTTTGTGGAAGGCTAGCTCGACATGGTCAGGACCTTGTTTGAACACTGGTAATTGCAACACCCAATGTATTAAGTGGGAGCATGCTAGCTCTAGAGCTTGTCACTAGAGATGGTTTTGGATTTACTTGTTTCTGTTATTTCAATTGCTAAATCAAATTAACTACACCTACCTATATGCTTCATAAGGGCCTCCAATTTACTAAGATTGGACAACTACTCCTAGTTGTGTTGATGTGTTTAATTTTTACATATTGTTTCATAATGTATTATATTACATTATATTGTGCTTTACTCTATTGTTTTATTTTCACCAATAAATTTATAATATTAATATGAGGGATAATCTTAGATATCTTTGTGCATCAATTGGTTCGGACGTTCGATTTCATTTAATGTATTATCAATTTCGATTTTTTAAATATGATAAATCAATATGATACTTTTTTTTATCGATTTATTAACTTTGGTCCTTAACGGTTCGATTTTCAGTTTAACCAATAAAAAAATACTTATAAAATAAATATGTGGCTTTTCTAATAAATTTGACGCGACAAACACAATAACGTAACTTGAACAAATGCTCATAATATAGAAATAATAATAACAAACAGGAAAAAAATAATATTTTAATATTTATGTATGGGTAAAAGTAGTAAATTATTATAATTTTTAATGGGTTATCGGTTTACCGAATAACATAATATTAAAAACCCAACACCAAACCGATAATGTAACTCAATAATTTTTTTTAATAAAACCATTAAAAACCCGGTAACGCAATAACTCTTTTCCGATTCAGTTTATCAATTGTTCACTTTATCGATCATTTAATTTTTGCACACCCCTAAATTTCTCACCAGATTTCATTCTATACCATTCATCTCTATGTGGTCTATGATATTACACCTACTCCTTGTGTTGCTTTTTTGGGTAATCATTCTTTATAACTCTTTAAAATAAATGTAAATTTATTACGACTTGACGAATTTACTCTTTTTTATATTAATTTATTTATATTGCATAAACATGACTTATTTAATAAATAATTTTAAAATAAATTAATACCATGATATATAAAACCACTCAAAATATAAACATGGATAGAGATCCTTAATCCAACAATTCAAACAAACCTTGTTAGACCAAACATCAAATCTTAAACCACAGGAAAATAAGTGTTACAGAGCAAAACATAGAGAAAAGTTAAATCTCTGAAATTTGGCATTATTATTATGGTAGTAACTAATGTCGATTTTAATCCCAAACAAATTGAAGTCGATGGTCCATTAAATAAATTTCCCTACTAAGGTTTATGAATAGCGGTAGAACAAATCCTGCAATAACAAACTCCAAATTGACAAATTCCATCAGAAGCATCCTCATTGTTTTTGCAATTGAAATCACAATTAAAACAACTTCCCTCTGATGAAGTGCTGACTTGATCTACACATGCGATAGGTGGTGGATCGAGTTCTAGTTCCATTTCTGCACCACAAAACAAAATTATCGAAATAAATTAGACGATAAACTTTATTTAAAAAGAAAACAAATGAAAGGCGCGAAAAAATGAAGATGTTGAAGGGAAGAATAGTTACGAGCGATTATACTTGTAATGAGAAGGAAGCAGGAAAGAAAGACAAGGAAGTAAACTTGGGACTTAGCCATTGATTATCTATATATTTGAATGGTTACGAACACTTATGTATCTATTTATAATCGATAAGAATATTATTTGAGAAAAAATAATCTTTATTTATATATATATAAAAATAAAAGTTCAAGACTTGTGCCGACTATAAAAGATTCTTATAACTACTAATGTTATGGTACGTAGAAGACCATTTCAAAAGATGCTAAGTTACTTGTATGAGTAGTTGTTGTATTTTCTGTATGTTCACAAATCACAATTATCATATATAAATATTTAACTCATTATTTTATAAAAAAAAATTAAACAAAAGTGGAGCTAGATTTTTTTTTTTATGGGTTGTAATGATAATGATTTTTACTTATCGGGTTTTTGGTTTATTTTTTTTTAAATATATTAAATGAAGCACTAAATTTTTTCAATACAAATACAAATTTTAAACAAAAAAAGTTATTGAATTCTATCGAATCTCTTATTAGAAATTTTGCCAAATTTTTAAATTCGTCTAATATGTATCAACATCAAACTAAAATATATATTGAGCGTCACAATCTTCTGAGCTATGGTTAGGGTCTTAGGGATGACTCAAAGGTCCGGCTGGTAAGACTTTGATTTAGTCCCTTAAATTTGAACCCCAAAAGTTTTATGCTGAAATTTATGAATTTAGTTTTTCTTTTAATAAATAATATTGAATTATATTTTTAAAAAGCACAACTATTGAAATATCTTTAACAAAAATATTTTAAAATTATGAAATAAACTAGTCAAATCTTCGTAGTTAGTATTAAATAATATTTTTACAAAAATATCCAAGTTATTTAATTGAAAACATGACTACATTGTAACGACCCTCTTAGTC